AGAAGCCAAAATCCAGCTCTAACAACTTTGACAGAGTTACATTGTGGAGAATGAGAGTATACTAGGGGACGAGCCAATGAGTAGGTATCTATATTAACGTAACAGGTGATGTGCCTGTCTGTAAATGGGTGCATGCGTTTATAAATGGGGGGTTTTGCCCCAATCTTCTTGACACCTTGTGACATCTTGTAGAAGATCGAGGGGACTGTTTCTATATTGTGCATCATATGATAAAATCCTGCAACCTACACAGCTGGATTCTGCATCAAGCTGTGATAACTTCATTCGTAAAAAATATTAAAATATAGAAACAAAGGAAGATTATAAAATCTGAAGCAATCAGATAGCTAAATTTGTGTTGGTTTTTTTTTTTATCATTTAAGGGGTACTGCAGAAGTGGGCATACATATCTCTATTCCTAACAGTACAGTATTAATATCCATAGTTACCCCCCCCCCCACACCTCGCCTGCAATTTGAAAACAATATTAAACGAAAATAAATAATTTCCTCAGCTTCTCCCAAGATAGAGAAAGCGCCGCCGCGGCTCCCTCCTAGCCTGATGTTATATTTGAGGCGTGCTCTAGGATGATTCTGCCATAGCGAGTGATTGCATGCAATGATTCTCTATGGTAAACTGTGTTAGCACTGCGCATGCGCACATGATGTCATGGTATGCTAGGGTATAAGTGCCGGGAAGTAACAGTGCCGGTTCTAATACCCAGAAGGCCTGGCGGCATGGCTTAAACCTAAAGTTTTCTAATTAATAAAATACTGTCCTTTGGGGCCAATAAGGAGGAGGTATAACTGTAGGCACTATAACAACTTCATCTAGTTTTCCTTTACCCTGTTTACATCCAGGTTTGCTATTGACTGTAACGCTGAACAGTTTTAATGAAAAAGCTGATGGTTGAACTATACTAACTCTAAAAATGATCCCGCACTACTTGCCATTGACAAAATATACAAATAAAATCATCCCAATTTTGAGAATGGCCAAATGTCTATTAATACTTTGTAGCACTAATAAAGGGTAGTTCCTCTTTTCCATTATTGCAATCCTATCTGTGCCCCTGTCTGTTTTCTCACCAAAACTGTCACGTGGACATTTTTACACCATCATTATGTATCGCTGACTGTGTTTTATACATACCTGCATATAAACAAAACAAAGCGATCAGGTTACAGATTTCTAAAGGTTAAGAAAACTATTTATAAAGCAAAAAAAAAAAATGTTCTCCTTTGGTTTTGTGAAAAGGTATAACTCGGCTAAATTCTTCAATAATGGGGCATGTTGTTACCTCCCCTTCCCATACCAGCTGTTTTACTGTCTCCCTTCCCCCAGAGGAAAATACATACCTGAATGATATTAAAAATTCAAGTATATCAAATAACCTGTGCTTAATCTTTCTTTAAAGGGGCACTATAGGCATCCAGGGGGGTAGGTAGAAACCTCAGGGCCCCGGTGCAAGACTCTGTCAAGGGCACCCCATCCACTATAGAGCAGAGGTAGATCCTCAGCTGCCGTACAAATCCCATGACGCCTTACAAGCTATGGATCTGCTAGTTCCACATTTTTGCAGGGTTCTCGTTTTATGCAGTATATGTGAATGTAGACATGTTTTTGTTTGGAGTATACTTGTGTGAATGTTTGTGTGTTTATGTATAATGCTGGTGTTTGAATGCAGGTGGTCTGTTTGTGTGTAGTGTTAGCATTAAAATGCAGGGGTGTGTGTAGAGTTGGTGTTTGAAAGCAAGTTTTTTTATGTAGTGTTAGTGTGTGAATATAAGGGTGTGTTTGTCTGTAATGTTGGCATGTGAATGCAGAACTGCTTTTGTGTGCAGTGTTGGGGTTTGAACGAAGTGGTGTGTTTGTGTGTAACAGTTATGATTGCATGTAAATGTGTATTCAAAAATACTCCCCACACACATACAAAGGCACATTTCACAGAAACATGCATACACTGCCATGCAAAGATGCCCACAGACACATAAATACACAGAGATACAGACACAGATTGACGCACATTTACAGTTACATTGACTAACACACATACACAGATTCACACACACAGATTCACAAACACTGACATACATGTACAGATAGATACACTGGTACCCACAAACACTGACACACATGTACAGATAGATACACTGGTACACACACACACTAACACACATGTACAGATAGATACACTGGTACACACACACACTAACACACATGTACAGATAGATACACTGGTACACACAAACACTGACACACATGTACAGATAGATACACTGGTACACACAAACACTGACACACATGTACAGATAGATACACTGGTACACACAAACACTGACAAACAGACAAACTTGGCCTTTGTTTCAGTCCATCTCTTTCTGCTGTGGTCTTGTGTGCATTTTAACTGCCTCCCCCTGGACTCAATTGTATATGGCTCCAAAAGAGCCTGCTTTGATCCCTTCCTTCCCTGTTGGTCCAGTGCTACTGCTAACTCTTATACATTCCCTGGTGCTGATATGTGATGCTCTACACCCCTCCTGGTAGCCCTCTATTCTAGCCGCTCTCTCACATTTCCTGCACTCAAAGTTGTCAGAGGGCATTTTAAGGAATCCCTCGGCTGCACTCTGACTCACTAACTGAGTGTTGGAGCTACGTGGGAGATGATATGATAGAGGGTTACTGGAAGGGGTGAAGAGCATCACATATCACCACCGAACCACCAGGGAGTGGAGCTGGCGCTGGACTCTGTGCAGAGCTGCAACAGAAGAGTAAACTAAGTGAAGTAAGTTGCCTGCTGCTACCCTGCATGCACTTTTCATCTCCGCTAGGCCCACCCGACAGGTGGAACTCTAGTGCTCGGTCACAGATACAAAGTTTGCGACCCTTGTAGTTCTGCTAGTATAGGCACCAAAACAACTATAGCTTATTTAAGCAGTTTTGGTGTAAAGATCATGCCACTGCACTCTCACTACTTAATTCTCTGAAGTTAAATCACTTTCTTCTCTGTTTATGCAGCCCTCAAAATACCTTCCCTGGTTGTGACTCACACAGCCTGTATGAAAAAAAGGAAGGTTACTTTCAATCAGATATTAACTTACTTTAGATTTTTTAATCACCTGCTTTGTAAATTGAATCACACTCAGGAGGCTCCAGCAGGGTCTAGACGGCTATTAACAGAGCAGGAGATCAAAAATACTCAATTAAATGGTATGTGGAAAAAAGGAAGTTTAAATATTAGATCTATTTTTACAGGAAGTGTTTAGGAAGGCAAACCTGCTTCATTAAGCTAAATTGTTTTGGTGCCTATAGTGTCCCTTTAAGTTTAACTAAGTGGCATTTGTGGAATGGAGATGTGGCACTAAAAAAAATACTGTAGTGTAAAATGTTAAAATTGAAAATATAAAATTATACATTTAGGTGGGGTGACACTTTTTAAAATGGACAGACACTTACCTCTTCACATTAGTGATATCTGTTCTGTCCAAGGTTGGCCTGTATTGTTCATATTGCTAAATCAGAAGGGGAATAGCTATAGTGTTTGGCGTGCCCCTTTAAAATACAGAAAACCTATATTTTGTGTATGCAGCAGTCTGAGATGGCTTTGGGGTAATGTGAGAAAATCGCCAAAACTCAACCTCTCTTTTCAGCATGTACGAAGATAACTTTCTGTTCGTGTAGAATTCATATGCATGTGATATATTATTTAATCAGTCTCAAAGCAACTGCCAGAATTAGCCAATAGGTTTCCTCTCTACACCTACATACATTAAACTATCATTAAACAGGGTGACATTTTAATCATGCTGTGTTCGTATGACTTTTAGGGTTAAGATGTTTAGAGGGTTTCAGTGTTAGGAGATGTGCAAGTCTGGAGGTTATTAGCGTTCTGAGTACACCTCGATTTTGATAGATATTTTGTTTTGGTTTTCTGTCTGCTGTACAGAAGCATATGTGCTGTGTGTCACTATTGTCCCATGCATTCTGACGTCTGTTTTGCACTGACAGACACAAGTAGCTCTACAGCAAGGTTGCATAAACCTAGCACTGGTAATAATGCAACAAAAATATAGAACACTTTATTTGCTTACACAATGTAACTCTAAATAATGAAGTTCTGAATATAGATGAATTAAAGGGACACTCCAGATCTCTAAAGCACTTTAGCTTGCTAAAAAGCTTTATGTTTGAAGAGTGTATCCTCTTTTTTTCTTTTTGCAAAAAGTTCAGATTTTGATAGAAATTTACACTTTTATAAATTAACCTAGTTACACCCCCCTGGCTGTCAATCAGACAGGAAGTTCTGTCACTTCCTGGTTTGCTTTGCTCAGTGGAGCTAAACTCAGAACGCAGCAATTGCCCAGAGCACTTACCCCATCAAAGACTTCTCATTAGGCTGCATTAGGAAGGCAGAGATCTGCAGCTTTTGCAAGCACTTTTAGATAAATCCCTACTGAAAAATGTTTTCATTTGGGCCTCATCCATTAAACAGTGATTTAAAAAAAAATTATTTTGCATTTGGGCAGTAGAGTGTCCCCTTTAAAAAATGTTTCCAGCTATATAAATTTAGACAAACAGCATAGGCGTGCGCACGGGGTGTGCTGGGTGTGCCTGGGCACACACTAATCCCCGCAGCACACCTATGGAGTGAGACCGGCAGGGGAGATCTCAGAATCTCCCCTGTTGGCTCATGCAGAGCCGGCGCTATCCGATCGCCGGCTCTGCTCGAAGCCTCCATGGGCCAGTGGGGAGATCAAAGATCTCTCTCACCGGCCCACAGGCAGGGAGGGAGGCAGGAGTGGACCCGGGGAGCTATTGCTAGCAGCTCTGCCGGGTTCCTCTCGTGAGATCTGAGCGTTGCCGCAGCAACGCTCAGATCTCGCGAGAGTGAACTCTAGCCCCGCAGGACCCTAACAAACACACACACAGCACACAAACAGCACCCTCACACACACAGCACCCTCACATCACCCTCACACAGCACACACACAGCAGTGTGTGTGTGTGTGTGTGTGTGTGTGTGTGTATGTATGTGTATATATATATATATATATATATATACATATACATACATACATATACACGCAACGTGTGCTTGTGCTTTAGGGTGCACACCCTAATGCAATAGGCTGTGCACGCCTATGACAAACAGGGTTACGCACTAAAAGGTGTGGAATCACATTAAGGCCAAAATAGACGACTTGGAAACATAGCTAACTCTGAGGTTTGTTCCAAATAACATGACTCACTTTCAAGTCCTGACATTTGACATTTTGCAGAAACAACATTTCTCCTCCAATGTAATGTGCCCTGGCTGTGCCAGGATTGAACCGAATTGTGATTTTCATTGCTAGATCTTTGATATAGACTTACAAGTAAACTTTTATTTGAAAATAAAAAATGTGAACTTGCTCTCTGAGTACCTTCGGCTACCAATGTACTCCGCAGACACTGCTGGTCTGAGTGGGAGAAGGTAATGAGGAGTAAGTACAAGCTTGACGATGTTTCCACCTAAATGAAAGCCGATTTATCACTTCTGTTCGACTCCTTATTTATCGCATTTGTCATTTATTTGACCATATCCAAATAAATATATAAGACGTTAAAAAGTTTATTAATTTTTTCTTCCTTTTTCTACCTTAATTATTTCTGTCATTCTACGGATGTGCAGTTTATTCATTTTCCCCCAGTTTTTATTTTTCATTTTCTTTCTCATTTATGATCTTTGTGTTGTTACTCATCGTATTAATAATGTAACCATAACAAAGATCCTTGTTATTATGTCACTGTTCATATACTATACTGTTTGAATACTATTGATTGTTAGAAATGTTGGCAAATTTATTTTATTATTTGGCAAATTTATTATTTAAAACAATAAAAAACTTGTGAAAAAGATTTACAAGTAAACTGAGCATCACACGATAGGCTAACAAAAGGTACCGCTGATTTTTTTTTTTTTTTTTTATTTTATTTTTTTTACATTTTATTCAGTGGTTGTACAGTTTTAACAAGTGAAATGTGATGAACTGAAATCTAATATGGAGAATATAAGGCAATGTAGATGAGTTGGATCATTTTCCAGATGTAGCTATTTTGGTCTAAATTTGGCGGTCTGGTTTTCAATTTTACCCTTTTAAAGTTAAAGGAACAATGCACGCACTATAACCACTACAGCCCAATGGTGCTGAACACATTTGAGAGTACTGAAGACATTTGAGAACAGTTTGACTGCTTACTGGGATCTGCTGGCACCCACCTCTGCCACCAGGGTCTGCTCATTGGATGAGACTTATCAGTTGAGCTCTCTCAGCCGATGAGTGCCCCTGAACTTAGCTCACGGCTTGAGGGCTGTCGAGAAAGCAGTCACTGGCTCCCTACGGACCCCAGGAAATATTCAAATGATTTGAGTACTTACCCTGGGAGGGCGCCAGGGCAGGTTTTACACCTTATCCTCTACAGTGAGCTGTAGTGGTTATGGTGCTTGGAGTGTTCCTTTAAAAAGATCCCTAATATTAGGAACCAATTTCACCTTTGCACGTAAATGTTACTGTCAAGTCTACCAGGCGTCTTCTCAAATTTTGGGTTGGCAATGCACAGGTTAACCAGCCTTTCTCAGAAGCCAACGATTTGCCAGCAAGGCTTACATGCTCATAGTTTAGACTGGGATTTGTTATTTGGAACAAAGATTTTATAGATTGATGCCAAAAAGCTTTAAATCTCCCGAATTCCTTCTCAGGTTCTGATGAGGGGAAAGAAAGATTAATTATCAAGACTGGGCTGTTTTTAACATCAAAGAGACCTGTAGATGGATGAGTTATAACTTTTATTTTACTGGGATATTGCACAATGTTAGAGTATTGATTATGCAGCAGAAGCAAATCCACATATTGCTAAGGCATCACTTTCCAGCCATGTCTGACAGAGCGAAGAATTCCTAAGCACGCCACAAAAAGAAAATGTTGATATGGCAATCTTACGTTTGTTCTTTTTTTTTTTCTACTCAGCAGGCCCTCTTTTCAATTAACGGTCCAGCTCTATAAGTTCTAAAACTCATAACAACCTAATTTAGAGTTGATTGTAAAGCATGTGAACTTTGTATTTTCTTTGCATGCAACTCAGAATTCTAGCAAATTTAGATATAGGTTCATTTTCATGAGGAATGCATTTTGCATGCAGAGTCTGAACTTTTACGGTGAGAAATCCGTGGACATTTTCATCCATGGCTTTTGCTCAGAAAATGCATGGATTTTGCACTTGTTGTATAGTACTGTTGCTAGAATTTGTGTAATATGTAGTCGCTGTGCATAACACTGGACACAATGGTGCAACAGTGCTCCTTAACCTTATCTCACCCAAGGCACACCAAAGCTCTTCCCAGAAATCCATGGCACACCACAAGCAAAAATATATACGTAGACACACAGACACACACTGTTTTACCTCTCACGGCAGGGGAGGTACGGGCTATTGGTGTCCAGCTTGTTGCAGTAACCTCCATGCATGCCACGTGACACCTGCCGCTCTGTGGTGAGGGGTAGAGGGTGGCGCGCCCCTCCATCAGAGATTTTGTGTATTACCTTGATGGACCAGCACAAGACTACTAAAAAAATTTTTTTTTTAAATAAACGGGTCGGGACATGGATAGGGCAGCACATTTGGCACTGCTGTTAGCAACCATGCAGTGGCACACCTAGCACGTTTTTTGCAGCACACTGGTGCATTGCTTTGCATTTTCATTAGTTCTGTTTCTTTTTCGCAAAGAATACAAGGAAAGTGCAATGAGAAATGTAATTTTTTTGTATATAATGCTGCTTTTCAAAAAAAATATGGTCGTTATGTACTTAACTTTTGCTTGATCTGTGCTTTTTGTGATATGTCCGAAGTTGGGTTTTTATTGCTATTCAGTGTGTATAAGTGTGTTACAGAGTCTCATGGCAATAAAAGTAACAATTAAGTGTACATCACCTGCTGTTGTAGCAATAGCAAGTTTAGCTATAAAGTGGACCCACATGAATTAACTGTACAGTGATCTAATCCAGAAGAACAGGTGGACATCTCTCCAGCCTACGTTCCAGATGAATTGTAATGAATGAATTCAATACATGTGATGTCATCTTCAGTTTTTTCAAAATATGATGTCCTGACGATTATAGGTTGGGGAGAGTTATCTCTGTTCCTTAAACAAGATTATCAGTGATTGTGAAGCATGGCTCCATGCAGACAGATAAGTATAGTTAAAGGGACACTATAGTCACCTGAACAACTTCAGCTTAATGAGGTTGTTCAGGTGAGAACTATAGCTCCCTGCAGCCTTTCTTGTGCAAACACTGTATTTTCTGAGAAAATACAGAGTTTACATTGAAATCTAGGAACACCTCCAGTTGCAGTCACTCAGAGTGAACCAGAGGGACTTCGGAGTTAATGGAGGCATAATATGCCTCCATCCACTCAGATCTGCTGTAAGCAGAGCACAGGGCAACACTGTGCACGAGCATCCTGTGATTCAGTATCTCCTCCCTCTGCATGCAGACACTGAACTTTCCTCATAGAGATTCATTGATTCAATTCATCTCTATGAGGAGATGCTGATTGGCCAGGGCTGTGTTTGAATCATGCTGGCTCTGCCCCTGATCTGCCTCCTTGTCAGTCTCAGCCAATCCTATGGGGAAGCACTATGATTGGATATAGAATGTAAGCTCGATTGAGCAGGGTCCTCTTCAACCTATTGTTCCTGTAAGTTTATTTGTAATTGTCCTATTTATAGTTAAATCCCCTTTCATAATATTGTAAAGCGCTATGGAATCTGTTGGCGCTATATAAATGGCAATAATAATAATAATAATAATAATCAGGCTACCACTTCTAATGATGTCAGCAGACTGCTTGTTTTTCCTGAGTCTAACAGCATGCAGATTTACAGCTTCTGGCTTGAATACAGTAAGATTTTTACTATATTTATGGAGGCATGAGGGTCCCAGGGGGGCTAGATGGTGGTTTTAACACTATAGGGTCAGGAATACATGTAGTTGCACTGGTGACTATAGTGTCCCTTTAAGCATGTCTAGAGTTTAAGATGCTAATCCAATTATTTTAGAACAATAGGATTAAACAATAATAATTTTTTTTAAAAAGATAAGCGCTCTTTGCAGATGTATCCACCATTTTTAACACTTTTAGAGATAAAAAATGATCTTTTAGCAAATGTGTCCTAATGCACTTAGGCCTTACCTATAGGAAAGCAATTCTTCAATGCTATGGGAATTTTCAACATGCTGGACGTCCTCATGCAATGCTTGAGGACGTCCTGCGTCATCTATGAAACTTCAGGAAGTGTTTCAAATGGCTTAACCCTACAATGTAAACATTGCAGTTTCTCTGAAATTTTGCAGTGTTTTACATTGCAGGATTAAGAGAACAGGGACACTCTACCCAGACTACTTCAATGAGATTAAGTGGTCTGGTTGCCTATAGTGTCCCTTTAAGACGTCCACATTTCAAATGGACAAAGAGGGACACTTTCATTTTAGGGGTGTAAGTGGGGGTTAGGCCAGGGGCCACAGATAATTAATCATTTATGCCACTAAAATGTAAATTAGAACAAGAACAATGTATCTCTTTTACATATATTGATTCCTAAACACATTTATAGTAATTTAAAGACACATTACTGGGAGTATTATTGCTGTGGAGCTCTGTTAAATACTCAGACACACAAACAGTACGGAGCTCCTAGAAGAGAGGGACATTAGGAGAGAAAAGAGGTACAGAAGGATTTGGACCCAAAATAGGGACTTTCTCCTAAATAGAGACACTTGATGGTGTACTTCTATATACACTGATCAGTTACAACATTAAATCACTGAGAGGTGAATTAAATTGTTATAATGGCACCTGTCAAGGGGTGGAATATATTAAGCAGCAAGGGGACAGTAATTTCTTAAATTTTATGTGTTGGAAGAAGGAAAAATGGGCAAGCAAAAAGAACTGAGTAACTTTGACAAGGACCAAATAGTGATGGCAAGACAACCGGGTCAGAGCATCTACAAAATGGCAATTCTTGTAGTGTGTTCCCAGTATGCAGTGTA